ACTGTATTGAAACTAGGGTTCACTACCATATGAAACAGTTTTGGCCAATGACATTGAAGGGCAATTCTGCAGGAACTCCGAGAAGGCTTTTGTTTTCCCTGATGATGGGATTCAGAAGGAAGGTTGGGCAAGCTACTTCTGCAGTGATACTGCCTTGAAAACCCAATGAGGGGTTGTTATGAGTCTGGTCTGACTCAACTCAATGGCAAATAACAACAACAACAACACAATGATAGGATTCAGTGCATGAAGCTAGAGTATCTATCTTGCAACCAACCACTACTAAAAGGGCTAGAGAATGGAAGAGATGTTGGGCCTGGCACAGTAAGCCTGTGAGCGATACCAGGAGTAGTTTACCTCCGTAGATCTTGTAATATGGAAAAAAAGAAAGCCAAACAAATAATTTAAGCCTCTAAAAGTCAGGCTTTCTATCCTAAAAAGTTTATGTACCATTTATTGACTGTTTCCTGTGTTCTGTACTAAAAACATACCATGTATCATCTCATTTACTCTTTGCAATAGGAATTATTTACCATTTTACAATAGTAAGAACAGACTTAAGTACCTTGCTCAAGGTCACGCGGTTGGCTCCAAAGCTGGAACTACAAACTGATATACTGCATTTGCCTCTACTGTCTCTCCATGTAGGTGCTATGCACACTTATTCAAGAGTGTGTACAAACTATGTTTTGGAAACACAGTTACTATAGCTTTTGGGGGTATTATTATTTCCTTCACTCAAAAACACCCAATTAGTATTATCTTTAAATGATGAGCCTTCGCTACCTCCCATGAGAGGCAGAAGGAAGAGGAATATGCCTATCCAGACGTAGAGCCCAGATACAGTCTGAGTTTCCAGCAGAGTTCTTCTCTGTACACCAGATGTTAGAGAGCAGACCCAGGCTGGGCCTAGGATAGAAGCTGCTTTTCTTCTAGAGATTGAAGCTACTTGTTTAAAATCATCCTAGTTCCCAATAGTAGCACTCATTGGTATATTTCAGAGTTCAAGGCTGAAGAGCACAACTAGTGGCAGTCAATTAGAATAAATCTAAAAAGAGTAGAAGCACCCAAGATAACTCATTCCCTATTATTTGAGCCTCAGTGTGACTGGGTAATGTGCTGTACACTGCCCTTTACAAAATTAAAAACTAAAAGCGGAGATGAATTCATACATAACTAGTTATAAGCTACAATGTAATAAATACTGTATTAACTCTCTGAATATTTTAATATTTTGATTGCAGAGAGAAAACAATTGGGGGCTCGTGGAAGGCATAGAGGAAAGGAAATTTAGTTAGGATCTAATGGAATTACAGTTTTCTCTGCCCTTTCTTCTTCAACATATCAAAAGCAAGTTCTAGTTTAATTATCCTGGTTGATGGCAAAAAGTACTACTGTAGCCACCAACATATAGACTAGGATTTGCCCAGAAAGACTGCATAATGAAAATCCAACAATTGCCAAAGCTCCCTATATATTTTTCTTGAGATTCTGATACCCAAATTTACTGACCGCAAAACCTAATCATCAAGAACGGCACGGCCCTGTAGGGAAAAACAAAACAAGCTATGCCACACAATCCTCAGCAGAATTCCTATTTTCTATTGACACTGTCAGTAAATTTTGTTGTTTTTGTTGTCTGTTTATTTACTAAAGTAGAAATGAAATAGTTGAAAATCATGATACTGTTAACAGATACTATCAGAATTACAGCAAAACATGAGATCAGTAGATGGAATTAGCAACCTAATCCTTAATTAGAGACCAATGCTCTTTGAGGCAGGGCATTTTTGTCATATAGATAATTTAAGCTTAATCTTATGAAAGGTAATAGAATCAATAGGGGGTAGTAGTATGAATAGTAAAATACAAGCAAAAAACATCCACAACATTTACTACCTTTACAAATTCATTCATTTAACCAATATACCAACAAATGATGATTGAGTGTCTTCTTTGTGCCAAGCACCTTTCTAGGTGCTTAACTGCACAGTACTGAATAAGGTAGAAAGGCGTCCTACTCCCAATTAATTTACCCTATATAATTAGGATACAAGGGGGCTAGGTGCTAGGCAAAATGCACTACCATCGAGTCAGATGTGACTCACAGTGACTCCTCCCTTGGCTTTCCAAGGCGGTATCACTACAGAAGTAGATTGCCCAACCTTCCTTCCCAAGGAGTGTCTGGTGGGTTTGAACTGCCAGCCTTCTGGTTAGCAGTCAGATGCCTTAGCCACTACTCTACCAGAGCTGGCCAAGGAGATAGAATCTGTGAAGACAGAGATTTTCTGGGAAGCCTAAGCTGTATATTCAACGCATCTGTAGATCTGCACTACCTTTTATGACGTCTCTCTGCTGTTAAAATCATTCTGCTTGCATACCAAACACAAAGACTTACTTTTTCAGATTTGGAAAAAGACAAAAATTGTTAGTTTAGTTAATAATAATAGCACACACTTAAGAAGTGCTTACCATGTGGCAGTTACTTTACTTGTGTTAAGTCACTTAATTTTTACAACCACTATATGAAGAATGTAATTCGTGATATCCATTTATCCAAGGAAACCAAGGCATAGAGAGGTTAGGTAATTTGCCCAAGGCTAAACAGCTGCTAAATGATTAATTCTCAGTGCTGTCTAGCACTATATACAGCCTTCAATAAAGTATTTACTATAGGTCTAATCTTCCTATCCATTATCTATTTCACTCTTCACAATACTATGAGATACGTAATTCCTGAATTTGGTAGATAAAATTACTAAGGCTCATATATGGTAGCATAGTGGCTAAAGCACTTGACTGCTAACCAGAAGGCTGGCGGTTCAAACCCATCAGCCACTCCTCGGAAGGAAGGTTGGGCAATCCTACTTCCGTAGTGATACTGCCTAGGAAACCCAAGGAGGGGTCGCTATGAGTTGGGGCTGACTCGACGGCACATAACAACAACAACAACAACATATAAATGAAATTGGAGTGTCAGGATTCAGACTCAGGAGAAACCCAATTACAAAGCCAATGTTCTTTGATAGCACTCCACATGCTGTCTCTTTAAAGAGCCTGCCCTAGTGAGGTTTTTTTTTTTTTATGCTTATGCACAGACTCACAATTCCTTCCCTCCATCAATCTATCTGTTTTATTTATCAGGCTTCCCCAGAAGATTTTGTCTGAAGGAAGGGATTGGCTGATAAAATAAATGTTGCAAAAAAAAAAAAAAAAAAAAAATCAATATTTTTAGCCAAAATGAAAGAGTAATCCTGCTGAAGTTTCAGAAAAAGAATGTTTCAGAGAGGTGCCAAGAAGAGAAATGGAAAATATGCCAGTGGTTAGATATATGGAATGTATTTTGTGTACACACCATAACATTCCCAGGATTTATTGAAGAAGTAAAAGATGAGTTGGTTTCCCCAAAGTTTGTCATTTAGTTTAATACCTTGGACAATATATATGGAAAGAGATGAGAACTGCAGAAGAATTAGAAACTAATTAGAAGAGGCAAAGATACATGTTAATAATGCAAGTGAATTGAGCCATACAGATAAACTCCTAATATCCTGTGGGTTCTTTGCAAATCTCAGCAGATACACTATCTATTCTATCACTATAATTCATACTTTGAAGAATTATGAATGATGGAAAAGTACCACTTTCCATGCAAGCTATGAGAAGGTATATATGAATAGTTCAAACAATATTATTTAGATATCCTTTCCATTTAAAAGATATTTCTCTTCCATTTATTTGTGTGGCTTAAGAAAAAAAATGTCAAATCCCCCTACAGCTAGAAGAGCTATTTTCCTGTATAGCTCTTGTGATATGCACTCCTTAAATAGAGGAAATTCTTATTGCATATTACATGATCTGTGTAGCTATTTTAATGCCTCAGAATTTGTTCCCAAGCAAATGATAGGATGATCCCATTGCCTTAAAGGTGTCTTAGGGTCATTTATCACATAAAGAAGACCTCACATGGTCGTGGTGGGGGGCATAGTTGACTGATGGCAACAGATCATTTTCAGTAATAATCATACTTATGGTATTTAACTTGGGGATGGGATGAGACTAAGGGCAACAGAAAAGTGAGAGACTGGTTATTTAGGAAAATTTTATGCAAAGTCAATTTCTGCTTTACCCTTCTCAGCTACTTAGCCATTTTCCAGAGTTCAAATTGTCCATTAAGAGCTATAACATAAATTCTACATCCTGTTGCCTTTATGAAATGGGCAGTCAAGGGCTCTTCTGGACTTGAAAAAGGTTCAGGCACATGCAGGTGTGGTCAGATGTATAAGCGTCGTGGCTTTTAGCATCTTGCTCTGAGTATAATCTTCTCTGCTAACACTAACCTCTACTCCATTCTGCTGAACCAGAATTTGTTGTTGTTGTTGTTGTTATGTGCCGTCGAGTCGGACCCGACTCATAGCAACCCCTCCTTGGGTTTCCGAGGCATTATCACTATGGAAGTAGATTGCCCCATCTTCCTTCCGAGGAGTGGCTGGTGGGTTTGAACTGCCAGCCTTCTGGTTAGCAGTCAAGTGCCTTAGCCACTATGCTACCAGAGCTCCCGAACCAGAATTTAGTACACAGTATATATTTGTGCCTCGAAGACCTCAAGGTCCTAGCCTTAGCTCAGCAACTTAACACTGCTCTGCCATCTTCTGACTTCATTCTTTTCACTATAATTGTTAGCTTTATCAAAGATCCAAAATTCCATGTTTCTAGCCTTGTCCTTTGTACTGGGATCACATCCAATTAATTACACACACACACACACACACACACCCCAATAGATAGATAGATAGATAGATAGATAGATAGATAGATAGATAATGATAATTAAAAATTAAAAAATAAAAAAAGTCAATGAGGAGGTTCAAATCCCTTTTCCTGGCTAGCACCCTGTCTCCCATAGTTTCATCATTTAGAAAAGTTTTAAAAGACCTAGGAAATGAACGGCATTGCTTCAGCTATAGGGGCCAGTGCCCCACAAACCCCACAGTGTTTACCTTAGGGTTTCCCCAGAGGAGCCCCTTCTCTTCCAGAGGTTGACTAGGCTGCTGGATCTGCTGGCTGCCGAGGATGACTTGCCATCCCCCACATGCATGCGCACCACGGTAGATGTGGTGAAGGCGCTGCGCACATTTCTCTCTGGTTTGGCCAGGATGATGTATACTTTCGGCACAAACATGCAGCCCAGAGCCACCGTGGCACTTAGACTGACTGAAAAACACATGGTGATGATTTTGTAGTTGCTGCCAAAGTAGATTGGTACAAAGGCTAGCCATATAATGCAGGTGGTGTACATTGTGAAGGCAATATACTTGGCCTCATTGAAGTTAGCCGGAACATTTCTGGTCTTGAACGCATAGAAGGTGCAGCTTAAAATCAACAATCCATTGTATCCAAGAGGAGTGACAACTCCTAGGTTGGTGGTGTTACAAATCAGGTAGACTTCCCGGATGCTTGGGTAGTCATGCATTATGTCAGGAGGTTCCATTATAAAGAGAGCAACGATGATGCCCAACTGGATGCATATGAGAATGAATGCAATCACTAGTTGGGCACAGGCACTCATGAATCTGGGCTTTTTGGTACAGATCTTCTTCTTGCTGCCTGCCAGGATCCTTGCAATACGGTTGGTCTTGGTTACAAGGGCTGAGTAGCTCATGGCTGGGGAAAGACCAATGCCAATTCTTTGAAGGTAGCAATAAATCTGTTTGGGCTTTGCGATGAGGCAGAAGGTACATAGGTAGCCCAGGCAGATGCCAGCAAGGATAATGTAACAGAGTTCCCTGCTGGAGGACTTGACTACTGGTGTATCACGGTAAATGATGAAAACTGCAGTAACAAATAGGGTAGCCAGCAGGCCAAGGCAAGCAAACACCACAGCTGCAATGGGCTCAGGGTCACCCCAGCGAAGATACTGTACAGGGATCAAATCACAACCTGCAGAGACACAGACACATAGTGAAAGACAAAGAAGAGAGGTTTACTTGGGTATCCCTAAGTTATAAGCAACTGCTTAAGACCACTGTAATTTGTCCCCATCTACCTTTCTAATCTCCGTATCCCATACTACTCATTCATTCATACATATTTATTGAAAATGCAGTAAGAGTTGTTCTAGGTTATGAAAACAAAATGATGATATTGTCTCTGTCTTTATAAACAATAATTGGAGGGAAACCAAGCAGAACAAACTTATTGCTCTTGAGTCAGTTCCAACCAGAGACCCCCATTGGGTTTCTGAGGTGGTAAATCTTCAAAGAAGTAGATTGCCCTATCTTCCTTCTGTGGAGTGGCTGGTGGGTTTGAACTGTTAGCCTTCTAGTTAACAGTCAAGTATCTTAGGCACTACACCACCAGACTCTTTAATTGGAGGGAAGGGGCTTTAAAATAATTACTTAAAACAAAGGTAAATGTCATGAAGAAATATAACATGGGCCATGACTCAGTTTTTGGGAGCAGGAAATACTTCCTTAAACAGGAAGGAGCAAATTGAAGGTGTCAATTAGGTTGAGTTTGGGGGTTTAGTAGGTTTGGAAAAGAGAGGTTAACTGTATGGAAGAATCTATGGGCAATAGGAGTATGAAAAAAAGGCCTATTTACACAACGTGATGAGTGCCCTGTTGTTGTTGTTGTTATTTGCCATCGAGCCAGACCCCACTCATAGCAACCCCTTCTTGGGTTTCCAAGGCAGTATCACTACAGAAGTAGATGCCCAACATTCCTTCCAAGGAGTGGCTGGTGGGTTTGAACCGCCAGCCTTCTGTTTAGCAGTCAGGTGCCTTGGGAACTACACTAACAGAGCTCCTTCAGGAATGCCCTAAGATGGGGTTAAAGGGCAGGCAGGAGTGGATCATGCAGAGCAGGAGTTCCTAGATAAGGGGTCTTGTGTTTAGGCATAGATCAATAGAAGTTATTGGAGGAATCCAAGGATATTTTGCATGATTAGATTTGCATGTTTTTTTTTTTTTTTTTAATAAATATCTCTTTGGTTGCTTTGTGGTAGGTAAAACTAGTTGCAGAGAAAACAGTGTGGAGGTTCATTACACAGATGAAGTTGAGACAATAACAGGTTGTACTAGAATGAAAACTATGAAATAATTTGAGAATCATTTAGGAAAAATACAGAGTCTCTGAGTTGATGTGGGCTGTGTGAGAAGTAAAGGTATCCAGGATGACCAACTATATTGTTCTGGATCCACTGTAAAGAAAAATTAGAATTTTCAGGGAATCTTGCAATTTAGATGTTATACAAGAGAAAAGTTGGGGAAAAATAAAAAAAAAATAAAATAAATAAGAAAGCAGCCTAGTAGTTTTAATAGGAAAAGTATTCAATAGGAAAACCAATACTTGGTTTGCTTGGGAAGTGCCACCCCTCTCAAAATTATTTTCTAGTTATGGCTTTCAATTTTTATGTCACTTGATTATATAGCAGGAAAAAAAGTGAAAAAATAAAGCTTCATTTGAGTTAGCTGTCTTCTTTTTAAAATTCTTTAGAACAGTGATTCTCACACTTGGCTGCATATTTTTTAAATACTGTGGCTTGGATCTCACTGCCACAGCTTCTGACTTAATTGGCCTAGAGTATAGCTCTGGTGGCATACTACCTAAAGCATTAGACTACTAACCATAAACCAGCTACTCCTCGGAAGGAAGGTTGGACAATCTATTTTTGTAGTGATATTGCCTCAGAAACCCAAGGAGGGGTCACTATGAGTCAGATCCAACTCAATGGCGGTGTATTTTTATTTTTTTGTATAGCCTGGACATCAGATTTTTTTTGGAAGTCATTTTAAGTGATTCTAATGTGTAGCCAAAATTGAGAGTCACTGCTGTGGGAAGAACATTTCTGTTAATTAGATTCTTTCTTTAAAATGACATTAAGATTTCTTCATTGAGAGAGTAGAAAATGTGGTTGGTGATCTACAGCACTGGATATGTGACAGGTATAACAGAGATTACTAACTGCCTATAAATATCTGATCTCCCCTTCATCCTTAGCAACAGATTTTCAATTTAATTTGAAGCAGTAAGGGATACAGCTAAAATACTACATTTCCAAATACCTTTGCAGTCACTTACACCATATGACTGGATCTTAGCCAACAAGATGTAAGCAGAAGACTTTTTAAAAGAAATAGATTTTTTTTTTTCCTTTTCTTTTTTGCCTTTCTCTGCTTTCCCCTTCTGCTGCTTAGATTACAATCACATACAATCACGGTGGCTAAACCTCCAGCAGTTACTTTGGACTGTTAGGTTACTTTAGGAATAGAAGGTATTTTTTGGTAGAAGAGAAAAATAGAAGGGAACAGGGTCCTTGGTAACTGGAATCACTGGCTCTGGACTATACACATCCACATCTACATTGCTAAAACTACTACTATTATTTTCTGTTACATGCAGTCAAACCAAATCCTAACTGATACTATAAAACCAAAACAACAACAAGCCCACTGCCATTGACTTGATTCTGACTCATAGTGACCCCATTGGGTTTCCAAGGTTGTAAATCTTTATGGAAGTAGATTGCTTCATCTTTGTCCCATGGAGTAGGTGGTGGGTTTGAACCACTAACCTAGTTAGCAACCAAATGTCTTACCCACTACTCCACCAGGGCTCCTTTAACTGACATAAACCAAAACCAAACTCATTGCCATCGAGTCAGATCTGACCCATAGCGACCTCTCCTTGGGTTTCTGAGGCAGTATCACTATGGAAATAGATTGCCTAACATTTCTTCCGAGGAGTGGCTGGTGGGTTTGAACCACTAGGCTTCTGGTTAGCAGTCTAATGCCTTAGGCACTATGCCACCAGAGCTCTCTTAACTGACAAAAGGTAAGGCGTTTCTATTTTTCATATCACATGATCAAAGGTATTGTATTAGTGGCTTTGACTATCTAAGGGCTACTGGGAAGTGAGAGCACCAGCAAAAAGTATTGGTAGCAAAGAAGGGTGTGGTTATTTCAAAATAGCTAAGGACAGCCCTTTATAGAAAAAGAAGAAATATCTTTTATCTTCCTTTTCCTATGGGTAGCTTTTTTTAAATTTATTTATGAAGTTTTCTGATAGTACCACTAGTTCATGTACTTATGAATAGTTTCATATTCATTATGGGTTTAACAGGATTTCTTAGCCTGGGATCCTCAGCCCAAACACATTTTTAAAACAAACCATTGCCACTGAGTTGATTAAGACTCACAGGACCCTGTAAGACAGGGTACAACTGCCCCAAGGCAGTTTCCAAGGCTGTAAATCTTTACCTCCTCATCTTCCTCTCCCAGAGTGGTGGGTGGATTGAAACCACCAAAATTTTTGGTTAGAAGCTGAATGCTTTTACCACATAGTTCCCTGGGGTCCTTAGCATACTTTCTTTACAAAGTGACTTCTAAAGAAAAAAGTAATGATTATTCTAAAAATCTGTTCTTTTAATAGTGAAACAAAGTGCTTTTAGCTTATAAAAAAAGTTAGGAATGTCAATCTAAAGAGAAAACAGTTATTTTAAATATTTTCATTGATTATGAAAACTACATATCTTATTGCTAATGAATACATTTCTATTCGTACTTTCAGGTATCAGTTCATGTATGTTGGAAGTCAGCCTCTGAATCTTTAGGGTTTTGGTTCATATTCACAAACTTATTCCTTTCTGAGACTATCTTACAATAGGCAGAATTAATCATTCCATTCCTTATTCTTCTATAATACATTGTTTATACCACAGATATTGCCATGATATATATTATCTACTGTAGTTAATTCTAGAAAGGGCTGTTTCCCTGGCTAGGTCATGTGTTCATAATGTCTACAGTAATTATTGATATACAAAACATGTTACATGTTACAAGGACCTTTTCATTAGTTAAAAAAGATTCACACAACCATTAACACCATGTGTGAAACTAAAGAAAGCTGCTTAGATATATGTGTTTGGCAAAACCAAATATGAGTAAAGCATGATTCTAATTGATATGATTATTTTCACAAACTTTCCAGAATTTATATATTCAAATGAGTGTTTTTCCATTTAATGTGAACCATTCAGAAGATTTGCTTAGTGTAATAATGCTGTCTTTGCACAAAATACTTTTGTTGCTATCCTCTTGGCATAGCAAATTGGATTATGATTAGAGTATTATTATAATCACTGACTCTCATGATTGGACAAGATCTTAGAGTTTCCAAAAATGGATACGTATCACAATCACTCGGGACAGTCTACAAAAATACAATTCAAGGGCCTAGGAACAGGAGATTTTTACTCAGTACATTTGGAGTGGAACAAAGGGAGCTTATTTTGAATAAGCAGGCCTAGTGACTCTGTAACCAGTCCCTGGTCTTTGTTTGGCAACCCTACCTTAGAAGTTATCAGGCCACTTCCTGTTCAGTGTGTAGATGCTTTATATGATAACGCCAAGGGGTGACCATCCTAATGCTACCTAAGCCTTTCTATGAACTACATTGTCTCAAGGTCAGGGCGCAGGGAGTGGCAGGTGAAGACTGGTACAAAGAAAAACAATCAGGAGGCCAGCAAAAGAAGACAGTGAAGGCATAATAAGGGCAAAAACAAAGTTACTATACTGGAGAGAAAATAGTCTACTGGTAAAGGTACTTTGGAACTGGGATCAAAAGAAATTGTGAGGTAGTGAGACAGAAAAGTCAAAATAGAGGCTTCAAACCGAGTTGATGGCAATGCTGTTAATTAAAATGAAAGATGCAAGAAGAGAAGGGTCATGTTACAGGAATAATAGTAAGTTTGGATGTGTTGTGTTTGAAGTATTTGTGACATAGTGAGAGATTTCAGAGACAAGTGGAAACAGAAGCTTGGGTGTTATGAGGGCAGAGGTTATAGCTTCTGGAATCATTTGCTTACGGGTGGTAATTAGAGACATGGAAATATTTGCAATAGAATAGGAAATGCATATGTGTAGGTAATAACAAAG